GAGAATGAATTCTTTGCATGTAGTTCAAATGTATTTGGTGGCAAGATGAGAGAATTTGTGAAGAGAAGTAGAAAGCGAGACGGTTCTGCAAGAAGTTATATTTACGAAGCAAGTATGATATTAGAAGGTCGTGGAAAGAAAGAAACAGTGAATTATGAGGAAGTGCTTGAAAAATTCATGGAGTACATGGGAAGCAATATAACATACAACAAAGACATATACAGTGAGTTTAAGTACTACTGTGAACAGCATGAGATTGAAGTAATGAGTAAAGGAGATTTTGAAACGCTTATGAAAGACAGTGAGGAGGTCATACATGAGAACAGTGATGAAATAGTTCATGAGAACAGTGAGGAGGTCATACATGAGAACAGTGATGAAATAGTTCATGAGAACAGTGAGGAGGTCATACATGAGAACAATGATGAAATAGTTCATGAGAACAGTGAGGAGGTCATACATGAGAACAATGATGAAATAGTTCACGATGTCGTTCATGAAGAAGCCATTGCAACAAAGAATGAGATAAAGGATTTCATAGAACTTAACAAGGAGGAGTTTAAAGAAGGCTATGAAGTGAAAAGATGTGAAGAAGATTTCTTGGCGTATTTGAAGAAAAAGAGACTAAAGCCAATGGCTCAAAATAAGTTTCAATCGATGTTTGAAAAGAAACGTTTGAGCTATGGTGGTGTAAGAAGCACATATTACTTTGTTAAGAAGTGAGGACATTTATTTTTGTCGTTAGTGTTGGAGTTTGTGTTTGTTGTTAGTGAGAGAATAAATTAAATCATGAACTTTGCCATGGTCTCTGTCCCTAGTAGTTTTCATTAAGTTCTGGAAATAATGAAAGTCATAAACTTTGCCATGGTCTCTGTCCCTAGTAGTTTTCATTAAGTTCTGGAAATAATGAAAGTCATAAACTTTGCCATGGTCTCTGTCCCTAGTAGTTTTCATTATCTCACAGAATTAATGAAAGTCATACTTTCTATCAGATGAAGCATGCAGATGAACATAATGAAAGTTAGTGAGTTTGCCACGAGTTATGAATAAAATATTGGCATATTAGATGAGATAGTTGATGAAACAGATGAAGATAAATTAAATCTTGGACTTTGCCACACTCTGTCCCTAGTTCCTCAAAATCCTTGACAACGTTGCTTAGAAATTTTGGTTCAAAACCTCATCTGATTTTAATCTGTTATGCTACCTGTTAAGTTTCGCGAGATTATAAATGTCATGGAGTTATATAAAAAGGAGGGACAGCTAGAGACACTGGAAGTACTTGTAAGGCTATCTGTTAAGATTGCATGAAATACTAAAAAGTCATGAAATCCATTATCGCTGTGCTAGCTTCACCTTAGAGTAAAATGACGACTAAAGTCACTGAAGCAATGAAACAAAAAGTTTTGGTAGAATACATTAAATCAGGAACTATTCCAGAAGGTTTTTACATTCATACTATGAAGGATGGTAGAGTTCAGTTTAGAAAGATAAAGCAACCATTAGATAGAGAAGGTATATTAAGGAAGATTAAACTTCATGAGGACAACATTGCTGAACTTAAGAAGAAGTTAGAAGAGTTGGAGAAAGGAAGAGAGTTATAAAGCAATGAATTCAACAGGGTGAAAAAAGAGGTGAAAAAACGTGTTAGATCTAACATTCTAACATAAACATTATTTTTGTGCTATGTTTTCATACGTGTGAGGGTGGTGATATCATTTATTTTTATTTTATTTTTTTATAAATGACAGAACAAAAATATAACATTTCTACTCAGCAGGAATGAGACCCTTACTGACTATGTATTCGTTTAATGCTTGATGAAAACAATGGTACATATTATCGTATGGGTATACACAACGTCTGTTTCCATCGTCGTCGTATATGTAGAGCTCAAATCCAGTCCAACCTTCTTTTGTACAATATGTAGCTTTATTTAAGTATGCATTTATGTAGATAAGGCAATTTTCTTCATCGCTCCAGAAATAATTTTTGTTCTTTGTTGAAATAGTTTTCGTTCCTCTGCGACCATAAGGAATGTATGCAATGAACTTTGCGTCATAAGGGATTGTAATATATTCAGGGTTTCTTTCATCGTCAATGGGTCTGTCTTTGTTAAAATGCATGTTTCTCAGTTTTACTTGAGTTTTGAATAGTTCACGGAAACGTTCTGGGAAAGAGTCATAGTAAATGTAGTCAGACATGTCTTTGTAATGAAATAAAAAATTTAAAAAAATAAAAATAAGGTTATTTTTTATTTAGTGAGGATGGTAGTGAATTCGTTAGTGAAGTCGTTTATGTGTCAGATGGTTTTGTAAATATTTAAGGTTAAGTTGGTGTTATGGTTGTGTTGTAAAATATACGTTACCGGTTTCGTAAAGTGTCAAACTGTTATCTTGGGTAAGGTGGAACGCAGTGCCACAGTACCCAACATAGTCATACTAACTGAGACAATATCTAGTTCTATGGTAGAAATGACTCTTAGACTCAAATAAGTAACACAGATAGAAAGTACTCAGTATAACAATTATATATGTACACTCAAAGTTAGTCGCTGCTAAAATCTTAACCTTGCATTTCGGGAAAATCTGACTAATGGCTCTTAGACTCAAATAAGTAACACAGATAGAAAGTACTCAGTATAACAATTATATATGTACACTCAAAGTTAGTCGCTGCTAAAATCTTAACCTTGCATTTCGGGAAAATCTGACTAATGGCTCTTAGACTCAAATAAGTAACACAGATAGAAAGTACTCAGTATAACAATTATATATGTACACTCAAAGTTAGTCGCTGCTAAAATCTTAACCTTGCATTTCGGGAAAATCTGACTAATGGCTCTTAGACTTGTTTTGATAATTAATTCTTCAATTATATTATAATTTATAACAAATTTCCTCAAACTATCTGTATGTCATTCAATTCCCGGCCACTACATTCAATGATGGACCATTTCCTTCAAATTTTGAAATACCTTATTCAATTTGTTGTATGGAGCCCGTGATATTCAACACTATGGAGCTCCTCCAGTTTGGTATCCAAGAAGAGATAAAAGCTAGCATGGGCTACTCTCAAAAATGCAGGAAAGAATACTCCACGATCGAATACAAATGTAAGTATCCACAATGTCAAGCTAAATTCAAAGTCCGGATAATAGATCAAGATAAATATGAACTACTAATCCACTCTGACTCTCATGATCATTCTGCACCTCCGAAATCAACAAAAACAATATCCTCATTATTTGTCAGAAATTATCTTAAACATTACTTTGAAAACAATATGAATCATGCTACAGCTCAACTTAAGTGTTTCCAAGACTTAAATATTTCATATACAGACGAAGAGTTACTTTCAATATTTGCACAAGGTCCAGATGCATTACGTAAATTTGCTCAAAGAGCTGAAATTGTTTCCAAACGCTTTAGTTCGGATGAAAAAGTTTCTTTAGCTATCTTTGTCGAATCTGTTCAAGAAAGTTGTCCAGAAGATTTAATTGAATTTATCTCTGAGCCGGGAAAACTAGTTTTTTTATATGCACCTTTCGAAGCGAAGGCCCTTGGTCACCAAATTTCTACGTTTCACATCGATTCAACGTATAAACTTCTAAGGGCTAACATTCCATTATATGCACTCACAGGAAAAACAGAACATACTATTGTTTTTCCTTTTTTGTATTTCTTTATTTCTCCTGACACAAGCGAAAATATTCAATATTGTGTTTGTCGTTATTTTCAATATATTAATAGAGAACCCGAGATGATAAGTATGGACTGCGCCCCACAAATAGCCGAGGCAATTGAGCGAGGTATTCCAAACTGTCATATTCTTTGGTGTGGCGTGCATGTCCTTCGCGCCATATTAAGAAAAGCGGATAAGTTTAAATCACGAGACAATTTTGAAGAATTTTATAATCTAATGAAATTATTAGTATTCGATACTAAAGAAGAATCTCCCGAGGAAGAACAGAACCAAGAAGAAGAAAATCCTAGAGAGGAACCAGCTCAATCTCACTTACTTCAAGCAGAAGAAATTGAAGAAGAGGAACAATATGAAGAAGAATTCATCGAAAATGAATTTCAACCTTCTCAAATCTTTTTACCACGAGAATCTTCTGATGATCCAAACGATTCTGAATTTATTCCAGAAGAAGAAACGTTTGAAACAAGTGAAGAAGTTCCAGAGCACCTCACTCAAGAAGAAGCTGCAGACCTAGATGCAGTTTATGATCGAATTCTTGAAATTCTTTCCACTGAACCGAAAGCCCAAAAGTACTTCGATAGGCAATGGAGGCATCATTTAGATCGTTGGAATAAGCGCTATCGCAACGGAGGTGACGCGACTAATAACGTCAGTGAGTCACATTTCAAAGTTCTCAAGCATTCTTATTTCCCAGAGAGAAGGAATATTCGATTAGACGATTTTGTTGTTGAATTATACACAACGGTTGTTCCAGCATTATTGATTAAATTTAAAGTTCAATTAATCAATAGTGATAAAGTTGTTCGTATATTACGAAAAGCTAATGACCATGAACAAATATTGGAAAACAAAAAAGTCGAATGTTTGAAAATGCTTGAAGCAATATATTCAAGTTTGCAACAAGGATCAATAGATTCAAATCTTGTTTATTGTACTTCAAAGGTACTTTTAAAAAAGAAACAATTAATGTAAAAGATTCAAATAATTTTTTATTATTATTTTATTAATTTTTTAAAATAAGGTTAATAAAAAAGTGACACTGGATAGTTTGTCCCACACTCATGCACAAAATCTTCTATTATGTATCATCTCAATAATTAATGTATTCGTTAATATTCCAATTCATTCAGAATTATTCCAACAAATATAGGTTCTATTAACAATATATTCCCATACATAATTTTATGCTTCTATCAATAAATATTGTTATTTATCATTCATTATAGTGAAAATTATAAACCAAGTATTATTTTTCATAATTATTATTTTGTATAAACATTAACAAATAAATTTATTCAATTACTTTCATTTCTCTCTAAAATACTCTGTACTCTTTCTGTTATTGCCGTTGCCATGAAACTTATTTCTTCATTTTCGCTGTCAATCAATGATTCAACTTGTTCTGGGATGTCGCAATCATTCATCACATCAATATAGTGATTTATATTCTCAGATCCCTGCGCATTGACATAATTTATCATAGCATATAATAATTTCAAAGATCTCAAACATAAATAGTCCTCTCCTCGCTGCATTATCTCAGACAGTAGTCCTGGATCAAGATATTCAACACAGAGAGCATTTGCACCATTATAATTCTCAAGAAGAGCAGAGAAAAAAGTAACAACTTCTGATTTCCCATATATTGATATCAGTTCTGATGCTTCCAATACATTGGAGCATATGTTTTCAATGGTTATATCCATATCATGCAAGAATTTCATTAAAAGAAGCTCACCATTAACAGTTCTTGAAGAAATTTCAGAAAAGAATATCAAACCTTGATGAGCAGTAGCCGAAGATGAGAATATCCTTTCGAAGACACTATTAATATCTTCAAATAAATCAAAAATTTGCAAGACAATTTGATCAGGCAACTCAATTACGAAAAGATTAAGTAATCTAAAGGCATGTGATATCGTATCTAACTGGAAATCAAGAATATCATGGTAGTATCGCCCTAGAAAATCAAAAAAGAAAGGAGATAATTTTGGATTTTCTTTCACAAGGTTAAAAGCAAATCTAAGGGCAAAATAAAAGTCATCTTCGTCCATCAACTGCCCAATTGTTATCCTAATGTATTGTAAGGTCTCTAAATCAAAAACAAAAGGCAATATTTCTGAAACATTGTATAAAAGTCTAATTAGAAAGCAGTAAGGAAGTCCATTCTTGCAAAATACTCGTAGTAACTCAGAAACTGATTCAAAACATTCTTGGAAATTCGGAAATGGATCAGGAAATTTGGCCTCTATCGGAGATATATTGATCATTGTGGCTAAGATCTCGCCAGAGACTGTTTTATCATAGTTGAATTCATCGTTAATGAATAATTTATATAAAATTTCGAAAACTTGTCCGCCTTCCAGAAAAGATTTAAACTGATCTAAATCAAAGTACGAAATTATATTAAGAAAATGTATTCCAGATAAAATAGCAGTATATATATCAAAATTCGAAAAAATTGATGCAGGATATAATGTAGAAAGATCTGGATTAATAAATGAATACATTACATCACCAATGTAGTGATATTCAAAGCATTTTATAAATATCTTAACATTAATTCGATTCTCAATTATTTTGGAACGCCAATTTTTCAAAAGAGTTGTTATTTCGTCTAAGTACATGCGTGCAGCAGTTCCTGATTCTTGAAACATACTGAATGTTTGAGCACAAAGATTTTCAAAATCACATAGCTTAAAATCGAGTATTTCTTCTATTTTCACGTAATCATCAATAAATTGTGATAAATCTGGAGTAGTGGATATCCTTGATCGTGGCTGTAAGTTAAAGTCTTCTTTATATTCCATACTTCAAAACATTTGAATTGAAAATAATCATCGTTGAAAACCATTGAGATAAAGGTTGTCCTCACGATGAATGAAAACAATATTACCCAGTTTTTCTTTATTTTAACAACCTCTCTAAAGCTGGGGACACCGCCTATCGTTGGGAGTAGCTATTAAATAGAACCACCAAGGTTATTTTTGGAACTGCCGGTGTAGTGTAGTGGAAACATCCGACATAATGATTTATTATGCCAAGGTTTGATTCCCATTTAGCCAATTTTTTTCTTTTTTGGATCATGAATTTTTTTTTGGGTCACTATAAGATTTGTTTCATGTTCTAAATCTGCTGCATATGTAATCTATTTTTATTTATCTATTTTTTAAAAATCTATTGGATTGCCAAATTTGAATATATTTAAAATCATAAAACTCCAAAAAAACTATAAATATATGTTTTATGCATAGTGCCGATACTCAAATATCAGATTACTTAGATCCATGAATAATATCCGAATTTTTTTTCTTAAAATTAAACTTCAAAACTTCTTGCAATCTTATTCTTCATCAATTGTAAATTTTTAAAACCATTTTTTAAAATAATTTTGCGTAAATTTTATTCTCATGTTGTTTTAATCGAAAATTGATACATTTTCAAAAAAATAATATTGACTTATGAAATTCATTTTTAAGGTGAAATAGTATTGTTTTTATTAAAGTATATGAATAATATATAAAAAATTAATGAATAATATAAGCAGATTTTTAGTTTACAAAACAAATATGAGCAATGCAATTTCAAACTTTTGCTGGCAATTTCGATATTGCTCAAGTTTGTAGTATTTGTGATACCTATAACATCGGCTTAATCAAAATTCGATTTTTCTTATGAGTTATTGAGAAAATTTGATTGCAATGAGAAGGATTTCGACGTTTTTGATAAACTAAGAGCTGAGCTTTAGGGGTTCAGTTCATTTATGGCTGTAGTTTGATGCGTAGATCTCTTTTTTATTGTAAATTCTTTCAGCATGGAGATCGAGAATGAATCTTTTGAGAACTTTATGAGTTTTTACACCCGTAAAGAGGTCCTTCGAGGAAAGATAGTCCAGACTACATGAAGATGTGGGTTAACCAAAAAAATCCGATGGTTTCCCCATATTCATGTAGATCTTCGAAAAAATGAGCACCAAAAAAGCCAAAAAAATAGGCTTTTTATTGGATTTGTACACTAGATCAATAACCTATTTAGGATCTGACACTCTTTTTAGCCAGAGATATGAGGTCCTTTCTAGGAAAACGATCTATTCATCCATAAAAAAAATGAATTATCGTTTTCCCCAGAAATTACATGGGGAGTGGTAAAAGTAAGGAAAATCTGGGTAATTTGGAATTTTAACGATAACATTCGTTTGGCCGGACAGTGTACAAAAAAAAAGATTAAAAAATTCAAAACTTTATTATATATAATATTACTTATAACACCTATTCATCATAAATGTCTTGCTCAGAGCAGACACCTTCGATCTTAGATTCAATATTTGCTCTGAAATTATCATAACGCTGAGTAAATATCTCATCACCATTGAGGACAAATCTTATGTATTGGTCAGGTACAGAATCTTCCCAAATTTCGATTGCCAAATGAGATCCAATTGGAATATCACCTTCGTATTTAATAAGAGAGCAAATTGCTGCAATAACGTTGTTACGAGCAGCTTGGTAATTAACTTTTACGTGCATATTAAGTCCAATGGCCTTATCTGAGTACTTGAAGAAATGATTGAAGAAAGGAGCAGCAGCAACAGTAGAGTTCGATAAGTAGAAGGACAATGTTTCGAATCTTGATACTTCTAAGCATTTTTGAAGGACATCTTTTGTAAATTCTTTTGGAAGAGTTGATTCATCGTTGCAACTCATGGCCATGGCCCATTTGCAAACATTTATTGTATTGGTTGGTGTCGGATCTACCCCAAGAGACTGAACAGCAGCGTCTGTGACCTTCTTTGCTTCATTATAAAATGTTTGGTACTTTTCTGATGCAATAAACTGCTTGTAGTTGTTGTTGAGATCATTGCACATTGATTGAGAAACCATGAGTGGTGAGTTTTTCTCATCAGCTGTTTCTATTGATAAGATTTCGTTATCAGAGAGTGGAGGATAGAATCCATTGAGGAATGACTGAGCGGAATGGAATGAGCAGTCATCAGGGGCTGAGAAGAAACGGAATATTCTTGGATTCATCTTTTCTGGGATGTGTTTGAGATTATTTACTAAATATGTTCTGTAAATTTCACCTAATTCAAAGGAATTCTTACGTCCTTGAACTGTAAGATCGTTCCATCTGCAGTTCTTTGGATATTCTGCATAAAGTGGATCAACAACTTGATGATAATGGCGATATTGAAGAGATGGTGCAATTCTTGTACGGAATCCATTGTTGTCATCTTCATTGCAGTTCCAAACACCGAGTTTATCTTTCTTTAAGTAAGATTGTCTCGGTGTGAGTAAACCTGGATCAGTAACAATAGAAATAAATCTAAGTTTCTTGTCTGCCATCGGCGTTGGAATGTTATGCTTGGCCTTGCAATAGTCTGCACAATATATTGTAGGTATGAAAATGGTCAATAACATCGTTTGTCACGTTTTATATTGAGGAAAAACGATGATTATTTTCAATAGTTTACAAAAATCGATAATTCTAATAAACTCTAGGAGAAAAATGTTATGTATTAAAAATCTTAAAAGAAATAATACCATTTTGGCCATCATTGTGAATTTGTTAACTCTTGATGCTATATATAATGATTGATATAATTTTGATAATTGACTTTGATATCAATGCCATTGAAAGAGAAGTCCTTCACACATCTAGGTAAAAGAGCAAACATGATAAAATTTTATAGAGAATTCGGTTTCGATAAGGAAAGATTCAAAGATAAGTTTCTATCATATATTAAAGATAATTACTTCTATGCCTAATTCGCGAAAGTATCGAACCTGTTATCCTTTTCAAGTCATGGATAAAAAGTGAACATAAACTATATAGATTCAACTAAATATTCAAAGCACAAGACAGATCTAAGTTTAAAAAAAGAATGATAATTAATCAATTCTAAGGTAATATTTATATTTATTTTTACCGTGTAGCAAGGATATCGTCGACCTTGAGAATCATACGAACAGTTTCACTGGCGAATGTTACAGCGCTCTTTGTTACTAAGTACGGCTGAAGGACCTCTTCCTCCTTCATGTCAGCAGGGCCGCAAGCTACGACTGATACACCATAATACATCTTTCCAGAGGAGTGAGCTTCTCTCAACTGTGTCACGACATCGAGTGGAGCGAGACCAGCGTTCTCAGCGAGTGTGTAAGGAACAATATCGAGGGAGTCAGCGAATGCTCTGATGCAGTGACCTATTTCTCCACCGATTTCGTCAGCCTTCTTTGCGAGTTTGATGGCGAGTTCCACTTCAGGTGCACCGCCACCAGGGAGGAGGTATCTCTCGTAGACAAGGGAGCGGATGACGCAGAGAGCATCGTGGAGGGATCTCTCGGCTTCTCCAATGATGAGTTCGTTTGAACCACGTAATAAGACTGTAACTGTCTTGGAGACCTTCTTCAAGCCCATAATCTTGATAATTGCGCCTCCAGCTGTTGTGACTTCTTCGACTGTCTCTGCGAAGCCAAGCTTGTCGGCGGAGAGGCCTTCGACGGATGCAATTGGCTGGCAACCGATTGTACGGCAGACAAAGTCAACTTCCTCGCGGTCGATATCCTTGACAACGATAATTCCCTTCTTGTTGAGGAAGTGGAGGGCTGTATCGGAAATGGCGTCTCTAAGGACGGACTTCTGTAAGAGAATAACGTTGGCGCCGGTCTTTGCAATGGCGTTGACGATATTAAGGATGTATTTGCGCTGTTCACGCTGAACACGGTCCATTTGAGCGTAGTCGTTGAGAATGACTTGGGATTCCATGTCTGTCTTTGGTGGAGAGATCTGGAATTGGATCAAGGCAATCTTGGCGTTGTTGATCTTGCGAGCATCGCCACTCTGGCGTTGGAAATGGTGTGGGAAGACAACACCATCAACAAGCTCACTGTCATCAATAACACCGCCAACACGCTGAACAACGCGGATATCGTTGAGATCGACGTGCTTGCCATCGTGGACACGCAAAACAGCATCAACGGCAAGTGGAGCAAGGATGTCGCTCCATTGGGAGGCGAGCTTGGATGAAAGTGATGTACGAGCTGAATCAATTAAGATTTCTCTTTCTTGTTCTGTAAATGCTTCGCCTTGGCCAAATGGAATACGCATCTGGTCGAGGATCTTGATTGCCTCGTCTGTGGCAATGCGGAGAGCGTCTGAAACAAGTGATGGATGAAGCTTGCGTTCGAGTAATGTCTTGCATGCTGAAAGGAAGGCACCGGCAAAGATAACAACAGATGTTGTACCATCGCCTGCGGCAACATCTTGAGCTTGGCTCATGGAGACCATGAGCTTGGCTGCTGGATGTGCAGCGCCCATATGCTTGAGAATTGTAGCACCATCGTTTGTAATAATAACTTCGCCGTTCTTTTCTTGAATAAGTTTATCCATACCGCGTGGACCAAGTGATGAACGAACAGCATCAGCAACACTCTTAGCTGCAAGGATGCAAGACATACGAACGTCTGTTGGACGGTCTTGGCCTTGAAATGCTGGTGGATTTGTTGCGCTAGCAGCGGGTGCAGATTGCTGTGACATCAAAAAATTTACCCGTTTAAAATATTTATTTTTTTTTCTCTTCATCTTGCTACTTTGCGAAATAATATGAAAGATATGCTTTAATAAGTATAAAAAATAGGATTTTCAAAGAAAAATCACATGGCCACTTAAATGGCCTAGCAGTGCGAAACATGTCCGGGAGAAATATTGCTCGAATTCGAATCTTTTCTGTATCATATAGAATCCCTGTTAGAATTGCAACAAATGTTATTGTATGAAATCTAAAATTTAAGCTATTTTTTAAAATAATTTTTATCAAATCAGACTTTGAAACATGATTTTACATTTGAAATTAAACCTGAGCAAAGGGATATAAAGAATAATTATATTTTTAATATTGCCATATTATATTTTGATGGTAGCGTATTTATGCTTGAAAGCTTCAAAGCACACATGTACACACAATGTAAACATCAACCACTATCTATTTCATGCATAAAAAGCGTTATTTGTATTCAATTTTAAGAAACAAATATCGTAAAATAACGCTTTCAAATCGTAAAAGTTTTCAAAGCAAACAATTCATTTTTGACAGGAATTGAGATAAAATTCATGTCTTATAATATATATCACTATCAAAATTATGACTTGAGTCAAACATTATTTTCACATGTCTTTCTTCAAAATTATTTATGAGTTCAACCAATTATAATGTAAAAAAGAAATATGAAAGTGGGGTGAAAATGGATGGCCAGGCAGGCAGAATCAGATTTCAATTCGAAGATATCCGAGATAAGAGTTTTCAACGCGCAAATTCTTTTACAAAGTTAATTGAAAACATGAATGACGAAATCTATCAAAAGTTCAGTCAAACATACACAAAACTCAACAGCGTTGCCACAAAAATCCAATCGATTGTTAAAGTTTATTCAATATTAATCCCGTTAATATCTGATTCTGCTTGGCCTGTTACAAATATAACTCAAAATAATTCTAAATACATTGTTACCGATCTATACGATTCTCGAGAAGATTTTTTCCAAAAAATCTGGATAAATTTTTATACAATTTTTAGAGGATCATCACAGTTACTTGAAGAATATGAAGTCAATAACATTATAAAAGTATTTAACTCGTTTGCTCCAAAAAAAGTTATTCAAGAAATTCCAAAATCATTTGTTAAAAAACGCGATGTTTCTTTACCAGAATTTATTGAAAAGAAAGAGAATGGCATGGATATTATCAAAATTTCAAAACGTCTTAACGAACCATATGTTCAAAATATGATCAAAAATTTACATTTGAAATTTTTCAATTTTGATGATGAAAAAAACTCATTTCCAAATGAAATTTTCTACAAAATCATAGAGAATTACAACAAAGATGAAGATGAAGACATAGAAGATATCAACTTCGGCGACCTGTCGACCACCGTCAATGACTTATCTCCTCTTTGTTTTTCTGCAGCTTTGAATGATGAAAATTTGACAAAAAAATATTTGGAAAAAAGTGAACCGCAAGAAGAAACTGTTTTAGAAGCATTACAAATTGCAGCGTTATATAGTTGTTATGATTCTTTTGATGTATTGTATGACTACGCGTCAACCAATTTTGATGATAATTTCTATGATGATTTTTGTGAATCAAATATTTTTGTGAGTGCTGTTATTGGCGGAAGTCATGAAATCGTTGATTACTTGGTTGAAAAGTTTACAGACACAGATTATAATATCTTCAAAGAATATGATAACGGAAGGCGCGAAATTCACTATTGTTCAATGATTTTGTTTTCAGAGAAAATTGATGATTATTTGAATATTTTACAATACATCGTCAAAACTCCGAACGAATTAAAGATCTATGATAAAAAAGAAGATGGAAAAACATACAATAAATGTCCTATTGAATATTTCGTAGATAGTTTAGGTCGATTGGATAAAGAAATAAGTCGAGCTGACATTGAACAGAAATTAGATAGAGATAAATATGATAGAAACAGAAGCCAAGAAATAGATAGAGAATTCGGGTTCGCTAAGGAAAGACTCAAAGATAAGCTTCTATCATTTATTAAAGATAACCAATTCACGAACTTTAAAAATATGCTGAATTTGTGCAAAGCTGCTAAAATGGACTTATCAAATATCGAACAACTTATTATCTTCTATATTGTTCAAATACCAAACAGGGCTAAGTTTATTTCTGAACTTGTGACCATAAAAGGTGAACAAAGACCTGATCAGTCCATAATTTCGGCAACAGATAACTATGGATTCAACCCATTGTTCAAAGCATGCTTAGTTGATAATAACCAGGATAATATAACTGCTATTTTGGACTCTGGATGCGATGTAAACGTGAAAACAACAATTAATGAGGTTGAGCATACAATATTCTCATATTTAGCAATGCAAAGAAGATACAAAGAGCTAGATACGATACTTGGACGCATTAAGGATAGAAATATGCAATTAAATGACGCATTAAAATTCCAAATTTATATTGACACTCCGGAATTGGATAAATTGTTTAACTCTAAGTATAGTCAGTTCCCATTCTCTAAGAAACGACCGCCGGCTAGTGCTATTCCTCCACAAAACCAGAATTCACCACAAGATAAGAAATCAGAAGAAACAAAGACTATTGCAAATAACATAGAAAAAGAAAAAGAAGAAAAGAAAGTCGAAAAACCAGAAAATCAAGAAAAACTTCCGAATACAAATGAAGATGAAAATAATCAGATTCAAAATAACAATAAACCACTGGAAAATAATGACCAAGGACCAGATTTGTCGAAAGCAAGTGAAGAATTCCCTGATCCTCTTGAAGGATTTAATCAAAGAGGTAAAAAGCGTGCATTGGAGAATGTTAGGAAGCCAACATATCCTGTATTCTATAAGGATTCGAACGGAAATACTCCTGCTCATTTGGCGGCTCAAAATAACCTTTCTGATATTATGATCGTTCTAATTGAGAAGAAATGTGACTTAACTGCAAAGAATAGTAGTGGAAAAACACCAGCCATTCTTTCTATTAACAAGCATAACATAAATATCCTTCATTTAATTATTGAAGCAAAATGGAAGCCAAATGACAAAGAAGAAATGATTGAAATCGTCAAAGAATGCGTGCTTGTTGCCGGAAATGCATCTTTCATACAGTTAATTCATGATAATTTCAAAGATATCATTGATTATTCTTATCAATTTACAGAAAAGAACAACCAGTACACATATCTACATCTTGCAGCTCAAAAAGATAATATACCAGTGATAGAGTTCCTTATTAACATAGCAAAAATTGATCCAGATATCAAAAATGAGTTAAATCAAACACCATTATTCTTTGCAGTTAAAGCAAAGAAGGAACAGGCAGTTAATCTATTGATAAAACAGAAAGCTACTATCAATATTAACGATTCCAATGGTAAAACTCCTTTGATTCTAGCCTGTGAAGAGAAATCATTTGAAATATGTAAGCTTTTATTAGATAATAATGCAGATCCAAACCTTGGTGAGCGTCTTATAAACAATAGAGGTATCAAAACTGCATTTTTCGTAGCCATTAATTCTTTAGAGGAAAAAATAGTTCAATTATTTATTGATTCTAAAAGAGTGAACTATTCATTGAAGATGGATAATATAAGCTACGTTGATAAGTGTAAAACATTAGTCAAGCAATTTGAAAATAATTCAAAGAAACCTAAAGCCCAGAGGGTATTAGAAATGGTTCAAAGAGCTTCCAAATAATAATGTTTAATATATATTAAAATTGTTTTGTTTTTCTATTTAAATATTTTTTATTATTTATAATTAATGACAGAAACACGTAGAATACAGTGATATTCTCTAAAATAGCCTAAACTATGTGTGGAAAGACGATCTTACCATTACAAACTTTTCATGAGAATATCAAATGGAATATTTCATGCATATATTTTGAACATTCATGAATCTGGTCAGAGCAAATACAATTCAGCTGCTTTATGCTTTATTCGATGGAAAGCGATCATTGCACCCTTTTTTCCATCGATACACACCCATAAATAAAGATTTTATTTTATATCATGTCGTGGGATGATTATGTTGATATGCTTCAAGGACAAACAAATGCAGCAGCAATCTTCTCAGTAGAAGGAGCCTTATGCGCTAAAACAGAAAATTTCGCTGCTACTCCAACAAATTTAGTTCATTGGTCAAAAATGCTTAAAGATCCATCTTTAGCTCGTCAACACGGTATTCCTTATAATGAGCAAAAACTATTTCCTCTGGAGTATACAAAAGATTACATTCATGCAATGCAAGACGAATTAAACATATGCATGAAAAAGACTACTACTGTGGTCGTTGTAGGCATTTGTGGCGGCGACAGACCACAAAATGATGCCAAAAACCAGGTTCTTAATGTGGCAAAAATATTAGCAGATGCCGGCGTCTAAAAAGCAATGAATCTGATTAATATATACACGAATCTATTAATGTTCTGTTGAATTACATGTAACTAAACTCTTATTTTTAATCACGAATATTATGAATTATTTTCTAATCATATTACATATGAATATAACTAGTCTGCATATTGCGCTTGTGATGCGTGAAGTTATAGTATTTAGATATTTTTTTCAGTCAATTCTATTAGAAGCATCTTTAAAAAATGAAAATAAATCTATTAATTAAATATATCCATTTATCTATATTCAAAGAATCAATTGATTAAAAAAAAATCTCTGAATAAGACAAGCAACTTCACGCTTGCCATCGACATTTACATTGTTATTGCATCATTTCATATCTATTGACTTAATCAAAATTCATATTTTATATCCAAAATCTTTGTGGTCATTGTTTTCCACCTCTATAACATAGTATTTTTCCCTTCTAATTAACTTAAGGAGTATTTTATATGATAAAACGCAAATGTGTCCTTTTTAAAAATTATTAATGTCCTACCAAGACATTCATCCAAACAAATACAGTGAACTAAGAAATACCCACAAAAATTATATAGATATTTACAACGCTTTGTATCAGTTAAAAATGGAAAAAGAAGAAGAATTAAAGTCGATTTTTAAAATGATCAAAACAGAATTGATTGATTCCAATAAATATCCACCCAAAAATATTATAGAAGACATTTTATATATCATTCTGTATAACAATCGCTATGCAAAGTCATATTTATTTCTTGCCAAACTGTTTATTGATGAATATCATGTGGAAGAAGTCAGCGATCCCACATTTATCCCAAGCGTCATGTTTTATAGAGAATATGGAATTAAAATAGACAAATCTTTTGATTTAGGAGAAGATGATTTAATAAATCCTGACATTCATACAGAAGATACAATTTACAGAGCAATTATGAATAATGACTTAGAAAAATTCATCATATTCACTGGGATCGATGAATTTTATAAAGATCAAAGACTTATTAGCAATTTATATCCAGGTACTTATGAAGGATATTCATTACTTGAATTATGTTGTTACCATGGGGCAGTTGATTGTTTTAAGTTATTAAGAACGAAATTTAACTCAGAAATAACTCAAACATGTCTTCAATTTTCATTTTTAGGTGGAAACAAAGAGATAATGAGTGAATGTTTGAAATATCAAACACCAGATGAAAAATGCATGAAATATGCAATTATTTCACACAACATTGATTTTGTTACATTCTTGATGAATGAATACAATATAGAGATCGATTTAGAAATTTGTGGACTTTACAAAAATCTTGAATCCTTTTTAGTTTATTTCGATCAAACTAATGATATAAACAAATGTTTTGTTTATTCATATATTTTTAATATTCGATCCCTTATCGAATACTTCCTTTCACATGGTGCAAATGTCAATGAAAAGGATAATAATGATCTCAACGCGCTTAATAATGCAGCATGGAAAAATTGTAATGAAACAGCCGAAGTTCTTATTTCACATGCTATAAATATCAATGAAAAAGATCAAGACGAAAAAACAGCTCTTCATTATGCAGCATGCAAAAATAGTAAAGAAACAGCCGAAGTTCTTATTTCACATGGTGCGAATATCAATGAAAAGGAGCAAAATAGAGAAACCGCTCTTCATTATGCAGCACTCCAAAATAGTAAAGAAATAGCTGAAGTTCTTATTTCACATGGTGCGAATATCAATGAAAAAGATATATATGAAAGAACCGCTCTTCGTTATGCACCAGAGAATAATGGTAAAGAAATAGCCGAAGTTCTTATTTCACATGGTGCGAATGTCAATGAAAAAAAAAATAAAAGTGGAGAAACAGCACTTCATATTGCAGCAAAATATAATAGTGAAGAAACAGCCGAAGTTCTTATTTCACATGGTGCGAATATCAATGAAAAGGAGCAAAATGGAGAAACCACTCTTCATTATGCAGCACTCCAAAATAGTAAAGAAATAGCTGAAGTTCTTATTTCACATGGTGCGAATATCAATGAAAAAGATATATATGAAAGAACCGCTCTTCGTTATGCACCAGAGAATAATGGTAAAGAAATAGCCGAAGTTCTTATTTCACATGGTGCGAATGTCAATGAAAAAAAAAATAAAAGTGGAGAAACAGCACTTCATATTGCAGCAAAATATAATAGTGAAGAAACAGCCGAAGTTCTTATTTCACATGGTGCGAATATCAATGAAAAGGAGCAAAATGGAGAAACCACTCTTCATTATGCAGCACTCCAAAATAGTAAAGAAATAGCTGAAGTTCTTATTTCACATGGTGCGAATATCAATGAAAAAGATATATATGAAAGAACCGCTCTTCGTTATGCACCAGAGAATAATGGTAAAGAAATAGCCGAAGTTCTTATTTCACATGGTGCGAATGTCAATGAAAAAAAAAATAAAAGTGGAGAAACAGCACTTCATATTGCAGCAAAATATAATAGTGAAGAAACAGTCGAAGTTCTTATTTCACATGGGGCGAATGTCGATGAAAAAAATAAAAGTGGAGAAACAGCACTTCAATATGCAACATTTGAACATAGGAAAGAAACTGCCGAACTTCTCATTTCACGTGGTGCCAAAGAACAATGTTCTTACATAAGATACTATTCTTTATTTTTCTTGAAATTTCGAAGATTGATTTGATTAAGACTAAAGGTAGTTAAATTTTTTCCCCACAGATCCTATACATCTCTCTGAATTTTTAGTTTTGTTAATCTTTGATTATTCTTTCAAACTTACAACAATCTACCATAACTTATACCATATCTACCTCCAAGAGATCAGAGAATGTACTTTTACTCGAATATAGCAGAGTTTTTCTGAATTCTCTCATTTGATGAGAGGCCTCGGAAAAACTCTGCCCAAGTGTGATGTAGATGTGGTACTTGGCCCACAATTAGCAAGATAAAATTATCTGAATTTTCTTCTTCTCCTATTGTTATAATTTGAAAAAGTAACAAATAAATCATTCATTGAAATCATCTCAGCAACTTTTTAATTTTCATAATATCTCATGATTTTGAAGATTTTGTACAAATTAGAGTTAAATAATGCAAAGGCAATCCAAAATTCTATTAAAAGTAGTTAAAAATCGTTTATTGATGGAAATATGTGTCACTTTTTAACATTAAGCGTTTAAATTTAGGTGTAATCCCCTCAGCAAAATAACGTTATGATTCCCAATGTGATTTCTTGCAAGGTAAATTTAGCAACACAAACAGAAACATCTGTTTTTGGTGATGACACACCGTTTAACTTCGAAAATGATGAAAACACACTTTTCTCACTCGAAATTCCAAAATTATCTTACGAACCTGAAATGGTTCAAGGTGTTATCCGTCCTCTCACACTAGCTCAAGATGGAACAGTCATCAATCACCATATTCCAAGGCTTTACAAACGTAAAAATGCACCAATGATTAGAAATTTACTTGCTCAAATCGATGCAGACAAAGCAAACAAAAACGAATACATCCGTCAAATGGCAGCCGCTTTAATTCCAGGATTGAATGATAAAACATATCATTCTTTATATACACATCCTGTTCATCTTCCATTTAGAACCGTTCAAGGCTCACTTACAATCTTCCAACCAGAGAACAAGACATTTCCATGCATTTGCATCTTCTCATTAGATAATTCATTAACAATTCAAACAGATGATTTGAATATCAAATGTCACTTTGATATGTGGGAGCCAATTGATTCCGGAAAAGAACTCTCTATTATTCAGAACAACGAACCATTCGGTAAAGTTGTTGTTTCAGAAACAGTTGAACCAGTTGATTACGAAAATTCAGTTCCTAAACCAATATTAGAGTCCTTACATGTTGATTCTGACGATCAGCTTATTGATGTGATCTCAGAAAACGATACATCTCTTGTAGATACCATTCTTTGCATTCCTGGATTATCTAAAACCGACGCCAGCGATTTACTCATCATTTTACATCAGAAGAAACTCCTTTCTCCATACGTCCGCTCCAAGATTTGCGCTTTACAGCTCACAAATCCAGAAGATCCACGAGATTGGCCTGAATTACTTGGTCGCTTCATTTTCCTTCTTGATCCGAAATGGGCATTCAGTATGATACCACGTCTTAGGAACAACGACGTCATGTCCGTTTTCCGCGACATCAAATACATGGAAGGCGGCGCTCTTTACGTTCTCCAAGTTGCATTGCGAACTCTTGATGAAGTAAAGCGCTCTGATTCGATCATTGTCTTCTGGACATTGATATTCATGAGTGTTCTCCAGAACGCGACACTCGCAAAGAAGGAACACGCGGCCAAACTGAAGAAGAAACTCCTTGATTTGTGGAAAGAGCTCCAAAAGAAGAAAGCAGACTCAAACACAAGGAAATTGACTCAAATGACAATAGACGAGATCAAAGACATGCGTTCTTTCAACATCTCCCGTGTTGTCAATGAAGACAGCGAGTACATCAAGCACATTTTCCAGGAATATCATGACAAAATCTTCAAAATTTTGTCAATTAATCCTTATCGTCGTGAGGAAAGTCATCCACTTTATTTCCCTGTTGTCATTGCATTGGAAGAAGCCCTCATCATGGCGAACAACCGTGATGATTTCATCTCTTCTGATTCCGCTTCTTTGGCTGGCGACAACGATGTTTCTACTTACGAAGACGAGGCATCGAATACTCAGTCGAATTCTCGCAGTTCATCGAGACATTCAACGCCAAGAAACACAGAATCATCGAGGAAATCGAAGAAAGTTGCTCAGGAAGAAGACGACGAAGCAACAATGGAATCAGAGTCTTATCAATCGAAGAAGTCTTATCAAACAGCAAGTTCTCATTCATCGAGAAGACCTCCTCCACCTGTAAACGACAAACCTGTTGAAGATTATGAAGAAGAAGAGGAAGAAATGATCAAAACACCTTCTTCCAAGTCATCAAACAATCCTTTGAAGACTCCTAAATACCAGCCAAAACAACAGGAAAAGAAACAAGTCGAAGAAGAAGATTTGTACGATGAAGAAGAAGATTATTACACTTATGAAGAAGTAGAACAACCAAAACAGCAGCAACAACAAATACCACCAAAACAACAACAACAGCAACAAGTTGAAGACGATGATGATTATTACGATGAAGAAGAGGATTATGAATATACAAATAGTGTTCAACAATCATACAGCAGTATAAAGATTTCAGCTGCAACACCTTCTTCACGCGGATCGCAACAATCTCCTCCAATCATTGACAAGTCTTCCCAGTTACATTCTGCTTTGGCCACGAAATCAAGTGGAAACAATCCGAAATCTGCTGCACCACAAAAACAATCTTCTCCTCATTCTCAGAAACCAAATACTGTTTCATCAAAGCAATCTCCTGTTCCACAACAACAACCAGCACAACAAGAACAAAGTGCTGAATACAGTTCTGAACCATATTCACGTTCATCACGTGCTTCTGCAAGAATGGCTGCAATTAGAGCTGCTCAGAGAAAGTCACAGCATCAGAATCAAGATTTCGATGATGATGACTACAGCAGTTACCAATCAGGAGGAAACAGAAACACAGGAACAACTGGATACAAGGAAAATAATGCTTCTAGAAATAGTTACACACCAAGTAACATCGCTTCTTCTAAATCTAAGTCTGCTGCAAGTAGAAGCAATATTCTACAGGATGATGAAGCTCCTTACAGTAATGGACAATATTCTGATGATGAAATTTAATCCTTTTATAGTTTTTTTTTTGAGAATCAAATAAATGTAAATTATTTTTATTATATGCTTTAGCTGATTAATTGAACTGTTTTGAGCCAATTTGCTTTCTCAAGGAATATGTTTGACAACTTAAATTATTCTCTTGTTGGGATAAACTATTGATTAATTATATTCGTGAGAAACTCAAGAACATTTGTTTAAGTCAGTGAGCTAATTAAGTAAGATGTTAGGCTTCTAAATCATCTGCACTTGGCCACCATATTCCATCTCAATTCTAGTGTTTTTATTCTGAGATTGCGTTTAAAAATTCAAATTTTGACACTTTATTTGTCAAATTCTGGAGATGAAAAAAATGAATTCACAAGGATCATCACCGAAAACTAATAGAACATCTCCAAGAAGAGTTTCTCCCAGTAAAATTACTAATGATCAAGAAATTGCGAAAAAAGCATTATATTCTGCCTTAGTTTTATTAGCAAAAGAACAAATCAAAGAAAAAGAAGAATCTCAGAAGCAGCCTTCATCAGATGACTTTTGGGAAAGAATGCAGTCAATCATTTCAAAGCATGAAGCTCAAATGGATCAAATAACAGTAAAAGCGGTAAATATCAGATCAAAGCTTAACAACAAGCGTCTTGAAGAAAGTAAAGCGCATTCAGAAGTAATGAGTAAATCTAAAGCGCAATATCAAAAAATTCTTGAGGAATTAGATCAACTTTCAAATGATCAGACCAAATTCAAAATAACAGAATTTACTAACAAACAAAAAGAATTACAACAAGACATTAATGAGATATCCTCTCAAAATGTTCAATTAACAGAATCCGTTCAAAAATTACAAACAGAAACAGATGATCTTAAGCAAAAACTAAGGGAACAGTCATCAAATCTTGAAGCGAGATCAGCTAAAATAAAAGCTAGACGTCAAGTTTCCACGGAATCTGCAAATAAAATAGATATTCAAATTAATCAACTTACCAATGAAATACTTGCGGCCGAAAACGAGATAGAAGAACTTAAAGAAAAGAGAGAAATGGTTAAACAGCTAGTTGATACCTTAGAAATATCTAAATCCCATTTTCAATCCATTTTCATGCAAAATGAATAGTCATACATTTTCTACTATTAAATGTCTTATTGTTTTTATTATATTTTCTGGCTTTTGAGCTTTTTTTATTCTGATATAGATTTTTTTCCACTCAAAACACGGGGCATTTATATTGTTCCATGTAATAATGGCGAATATACGAAACAGATTTTGGAATAAATTGATCATCCCTTACGATCGTTCATCCGATCCGAGCAAAATCGATTTCAACTTTTTATGGGAGACAATTCCAGAAGAGATATTCAGTTTTTATAAGAAATTTTATATCTGTATTGGAAGAAATTCAAAAATTATCTATATCTTTTCATAAATTGTTTAAAAGTCGAGAATTTATTTTCAATTTTCTTTAATTGCAAGTTATTGATGCGCAGTTTGACATCATATAACTTTTATGGAAAAAACAACATGTATTGACACTATCAAAAATTCCTTATTTCAGATATCTGAGGTTTATTAGTTTAGCAATAGGTGAAAAAAACATTATCCATCCAAGTTTATTATGGAAATAAAATCAATAAGACATAACTATAATTACCCTCAACTTCGTGTTTGATGCAAATTTAGTTGAGCATATCATAAAAAAACTGTTATTTGAATATAATGTTCAGAATTCTTCAGAATTTTTTTTGCGTTTTTTTAAGGCATTATTATAGTAAATCTATAAATAAAGAATTTGTTACAATCGAATGTGTCAAAATCACCACTTCTCAATTGAAAACGCTAACTTTGAATATTAAATTTCGAAAATTCAAATGAGCAAAACTAAATTAATAATTTATTTAAACGACAAAATAATTCAACCCCATTTTTTTCTGAACGGGGCGTAAAATAAGGAATATTCAAATAAGCATAAGTTAATAACTATTTATAAAAGGAAATCTTTTTCAAAAAGGTCAAAAAATATCAAATTGAAATTATGAGAACGCTCTCAATTTCTTTATATATTTTTAGTTGAGTTTAAATGATCGCACAGCATGTCGTTAATGCTTATTATCCATTGATTTCGGCAGCTAAAATTGCTGATCCTAATGAGCTGCCTATGGATATTCCTAAACTAAAAGCAGATGATTTGACAAATTTATTAGTAGCAACTCAAAGCTTTTTTGCATCTGAACCGTCATTATTCCGTCTTAATCAGAATTGCATAATTGTTGGTGATTTGCATGGTAATTTAAGAGACCTACTTAGAATTTTTGCTTATAACGGGCTCCCTCCTCAAAGAAACTATATTTTTCTTGGAGATTACGTTGACCGTGGCGAGTTTAGCATTGAAGTAGTTACTCTATTATTCAGTTTGAAAGTTCTCCACCCTGATAATATCTTTTTAATCCGAGGCAACCATGAGTTCATGGATATAAACTCTATGTACGGATTTAAAGATCAGGTGTTAGCAGAATATGATGGCTACATGTACAAGATTTTTAATGATTGCTTTGCTTATCTACCTCTTGCCTGCGTCCTCAACGATAGCTTTTTCCTTGTCCATGGAGGCTTAAGTCCATCCCTTACTAATGTGGAGGAAATCGAAGCAGTACAACGTCCCATATTTACTTTGAATAATCCAACTATCACCAAATCATTCATTTCAGATATCCTTTGGAGTGATCCAGGCGATTCTGGCGTAATGTACGTCAAGAATTATCGTGGCTATGGATATCTTTTTGGTCCAATGGCTGTTTTGAATTTTCTAAGGGCAAACAACCTCAAACGTATCATTAGATCTCACCAGTGCGTCAATGCGATTGAAAAATCTCACGGAAGTACAGTGATTACGGTATTTTCCACAAGTAATTATTCAAAGAAGTCAAAGAATACGAGTGGAATCTTAGAAGTTAATGGAGAAGGTATTAATACATATATTTACGATGCTGAAGACCAATTTAAGAAAATCGATGCAAGTTATCGTCTTATTGAAGCCGTTGAGCGTTCTCCTTTATGCTTTAATAATAAATTCAACTCTGTTCTCATGGCAAGACCTCGAAAACGAAGGGCAACAGTTGATGAAATGCAAAAATCTGAACAACGCAAATCCATAACTCCACAATCATCTCTTCCTAGATTAATATGCACTCCTACAAAGTCTGATCGTGCAACTATCAATTATGCTCCAAGCAGTCCTTCAATTTTATTGAACCCAGTTTAATATGTTAATGTTATTTGTTAATAAACATGCGACTACTTTTTAAATTATATTTTCTTTCAATTAATACTCCAAAACATCCGAAATAAAAATGTTGAAATACGATATTGGAGAAAAATCAACATTCAATTAGATTAAATGGCAATTTTCATGATGCAGTCAATGAATACGTACTTCAGAACTCATATTTGCTTTTAATTATTTTTTTCGAAATGAAATATATACGAATTTTAGGTATTTATAAAACATTTAAAATAAAAATATAAAAATAAGTTAAAGGTCAAAATCTTGGTCACTGAAATCGACATCGATATCTGAATCAGATTCTTCCTTTGGCGGTGGCTTAGCTGCTGGAGCAGCAGGCTTTGAAGCTGGTTTAGGAGCAGGGGCAGGTGCTGGTTCAGGCTTCTTAGCAGTTGCTTTTGTAGGTTTTTCATCAATATCATCGAAATCATCAAAATCGAAGTTCATTGATGAAGTTTCATCTATTGTAGCTGCTGGTTTTGCCTTTGTTTGGTTCGCTGCCGGCTTTGCTGCAGCAGATTTCGGTGGAGGAGATGGCTTTGTTGAGTTTGAATCGAAATCTAAGTCTGCAAACATACTGTCCTTTTCAACTTTCTTTGGTGGAGCTTCTTTCTTTGGAGGAGGTGCAGCAACAGGTTCTTTAATTGATTCTTCAACAGGAACCGCGTCACCATCAAAGTCCATGACATCACTCGATTCTTCGTCTTTAGGTTTTGCATTTGATGGCTTTCGTGCTGGTTCGGCCTTTTTAGGAGCAGATGGTTTAACAGGAGATTCTCCTGAGTCGATAGAATCTGCAAATGAGAAATTCAAGTCTGATGAAATTTGATCTTGCTTCTTTTCTTGTTTTGGAGCTGGTTTTGCTGCAGGAGCTGGCGCTGGCTTTGCAGCAGGCTTTGTTTCAATTTCTGGCTTACTATCTTCAAGGAGATCGCTGAAGTTTCCAAATGAATCTTCTGGAATGTCATTAACAGGTTTTGCAGCTGGCTTAGCAGCTGGCTTTTCTGCTGGTTGAGGTGTTGGCTTAGCAGCTGGCTGTTCTTGAGATTTTTTGGAAGGTTTTGATACATCTTCAATATCTCCGAGAGAAATGTATGAATTTGAATCAGACTCTGATTCCACATTCTGTGGCGTTACTGGTTGTGCAAGTGTAACTGACTTCTTTGGTTCTTCTGCTGGTTTATCTTGCTTTGCTTTTGGCTGTTCTTTTGCTGCAGGGGGCTGCTGTGGCTTAGCCTTTTCCTGCTTATTTGGCTCGTTTGTAGCCTTTTCGATACGATCTGATACTTTCGCGCGTAAATCTGCTTTGCTCTTTTGCTTTTGTTGCTCTGTATTTAATTTTAATATAGATTTTATCCAAAGCTCATTATTTGGTAATTCAATATCCTTTTCTGGAGAAGATTTTGAATTTTTAACCCAATTTTTAGTTTCAGCGTTCATTGAATCAATAGTATAATTGCATTTAAATTTGTTAAGATACTGTAAAATAATGCTGTTTGCAAGTAGAAATTTTTGCTCGTTATTTGGATTTTTGGTCATTTTCAAAGAATCAATAGATGTTGTCTGTATAAGTTTCGATATTTCTGTGACGTATTCTGCTTGCAATTTACAGTTGGTACCATTTTTCTGCATTTCTTCGAGTACTGCCTCTTTGTTGCTCATTTTTACAAAAAAATATTTTGTTTGAAAGAAAATTTTTAAACGGATGGAAAGCATTATTCCCGGAACACACCGTTCATCTTAACATCAACATTTATCCTTAATTCTAGAATTTTTATTTCTTGAATTCAATAATTCACATTATTCTTTACTCATTCAATCAATAATGATATATATCATATGAATTAATCCAATATGTATGTGTAACACAGTTCATACATCAACTAATTATGTTGGAAAATCAAATTTTTATATCAATATTTACACAAGACCTAAAATTAATATCAATAACTAGTAATTTATAAAGGGCCAATCACTTAAAGAAAAATCACATGATTAATTAACAAATTTTATGTTTAGAAATACGTTGTTCATATAAATAATTTTCTCTTTATTTTCTAAAATAAAAAAATATCAATATTTCTTACTCATCATCATCTTCTTCATCCTCCTGAGCTAATTGTCCCTTTGGTCTGTCCGCATCTGGGTCGATATCCTGGTCGAGATCCTCCTCAACATCCCAGATTGCTGTTTCAGCAGAAGAACCACCGATAGCGAGCAGGAGTGGTTTATCTGGACAGAACTGGCAGCCGAACAATTCGCCAATTCCCATATTTGCTCTCTGGTTGAGAACGGCTGTTCCACTTGTCAAATCCCAAATCATTGCTGAACCTTTGATATCTGTTGTAGCGACGATTGTTCTTGGCTGGTATCTTGAAACAGCGATGCCTGTGACAGAGCCATTGTGGTTCTCAAGGACTTGAACAGGCTTAGATGGATCTCTTGAATCGTACCAGAAAACTTTGCCTTCTTCTGTGGAAGATAAAAATTGGTATCCATCGTTCAGCCATGAGAATGTGTCTATGCTCTCGCCATCGAGGCTTGACCATGTTAAGCCACTGCGAGCATCGTATCCGAAGACACCTTCGTTTGTACCGACACCGAAGATAGAACGCTGCTTCGGGTTCCACTCGGCTGATTTGCCTTGGGAGTATGGTGTTCCCTCGGCACGTGGCTGTCCTAAGTTGAAGACAGCAGCCGTCCTGAGCGCGTCAAGGTGCCAGATGGCGGCTGTGCCATCAATGGAGGCGGAAAGTAATGCGCGTGGTTGGAGAGGGTTCCATGAGAGGGTTGGAACAGCATCATGATGATGCTGAAGCCATGCACATGGAATAGTACTTTCGAGAATGTTCATATTCCAGATCTCGATGTGATGAAGCATTGTAGATACAGCGCAGAAGGAGCCTTTTTCGTTATTGCCTGGAGCACCATCCATCCAGCAAATGGAAAGTGGGAATGATGGAATCATAATTTCGTGATGTGGATAAAATGCTTTTTCTGTATCGTCGAAAATATGAACTTCAAGGCTTGAATCTGGTTCAATGGATTTACCAATGCAGATAAGATAGTCTGTTGGTTTGATGATGTCTTCAGCATCTTCTTCCTCTTGTTTTGATTTTTGTACGAAATAAGGATCATTCTCGACAATGCCAAAGTCTTCATTTGTCTTGACTGGCTCATCATCGTAATGATCTAAGTCGTATTTAGCAATAATTTCAGCATCTTCTGCTGAAATTGGATGTTCATCCTCTTGCTTTGGCTTTTGATCGCCTTCAATTACAGCAAGATATTTGTTAACCATCTCTTCGTCGTCATCTGCACGCTGCAAACGTGCTGGAGTAACACCACGTGGAATCCAAGCAAGAGCAGTGATCATTGATGGTTATAGGACTCAAATCAAAGGCACTTTTCAAATTTTTTGTGTTTATAAAATTTTAGCCTCGATATTTATATCACATGCTAAACTAATGATGCTATCGCAAATGAGCTAGGTTGTGCCACATTTTGAGCATTTTTGAAAAAAACACAATTTTTATGTTTATTTATATTTCTATCTATTTATGACATATGTGACAGACTTTGCCATAGCTACCCATATGCAAATTAAAATGCTTCAAAAATAAACCTGCAAATAGGAAATATAAGGTGTTTGCCTCATAATAGTGTAGAATTTGTGCCGAACCTTTTGTTAGGCTCTCATATTTTAGGAGATCATGTGGAAGAAATCTGCTACATGCTTATCATGCTAGATTTTCAAAACTTCAACATTCGTTTTTCGCCTCAAGATTTCTCTTTCCCATGATCAACAAACCAAACGTATGAACAAATTAAAAAAAAGGTAGTGGGGCTTCCAGGCGCGTTGCGCCCTCTAGCCCATAAGAAATTTTGCCCAAGACCCAAGAGGAGGACCGAACCCCAGCCGACCAGCCGGTGACAAAACCAAAACCGTTGTTATTTACATCATATTAATGGTGTTACTTTTTGCGTCACTTTTCACAAATTATATATGTTTTCGTGTTTTGTCACTTTTCTATCACTTTTCGGGTAAAAACATTTTTATTATTATATATAAATGAATTTTACAAAACCACCGTTACCGTTCTTTGGAAATAAGAGTAGATGTAAAGATATTATATTGAGAGAACTTAAGAAACTACCGAATGGTCTAACATTTGTAGATTTGTTCGGTGGAAGTTTCTATATATCCCATTTATGTCATACCGTATTTCCTGACTCAAAGATTATATGCAATGACTTCGACAACTATATGAACCGTCTCAAACATATTCCAGACACAAACAATATATTGAAAGAGTTAAAAGAAAAGATACCTATAGGTAAGATGGAACGTATACCATTAGATAAGAAAAATATTGTGAGAGAGGTTTTGAAAAAAGCAGAATATATAGACTGGGATAGTATATCTGCTAGATTATTATATAGTGGTGCTATAAGAGTTCATGACATTGAAACACTTATGTCAAAAGTTTTATATCTTAACTATACAAATGTTTTCAAAGAGGACATAGATAAATATATTGAGGGTATAGAGTTTGTGAGATGTCATTGGACAGAGTTGTATGAAAAATATAAAGACAAGGAAAATGTTTTCTTTATAGTGGACCCGCCGTTCTATAACACATGGGATTTTCAATACCAAGTAGACTGGACTTTGAGAGACTCTTTAGAAACTTTAGACGTTATACATAACCATCCATGCTTTTACTTTACATCCGATAAAAGTGGTTTGGAAACCGTTATGAGATGGTTAGAGGACATACATGACTATGAGTTTATATATGACAAGATAGAATATGAGAGAGGTCCTATAAACTGGAGAAAGTGTCATAACAAAGAAATTTTATTAGTAAGTAAATGTGGTTTGAAATAGGACTACTTGTTTTAGGTTTTTTCCATTGTGTCATTTATTTATTTGACGTGGTAGAAAAGTACAGAGAATATGAAGATGAACCAATGCCTGCAAATGTTCAGCATATGTACTCGTAAGAGATATTTTTATCTAATATTAAAATGCAAGGAGTAGATGCGCAAGGTCAACCAAATGTTGCACAGCTTGGAGCACATAACCCTGAAAATATTCCAAATGAAGTCAGAATACAAACTGCATTGGCAAACTATGGTCAAGTGCCAACAGATGTACAAATGCAAACTGCCATGTCAAATGACGCTGCGTTAGGTTTGCCACCATGGTATGCAAATATGAGATGGAAAGAGTTTTATACAAACCCTGAAGTGGGATATAAACAACTTTATGCAGATGACGCGAACACAGGAGTTGACCCAGAATATGTTTTCTACCAGAGGAGAAACAGAATGTATGAACTTCAGTTAAAGAATGCAATGGAACTCAGAAGGAAACGTAAAAGACTAGGCGGACATTAGATTTTTACACGTAGTAAATGGGTTTCTTTGGAAGAATAGGAAACTTCTTTCGAAATGTTGGAAGAGGTATATGGAATGGAATAAAATCTGTCGGAAGAGGAGTATGGAACGGTGTCAAAAATATTGGTAAAAGAGTAGGTCAGTTCGTTGGTATTATACCTAAAGACCCTGAACCAGAAGAGCAAGCTCCTGTTATACAACAGCCTGAACCTGCACCACAGTCAAGTTGGCAACCACAACCAACACCTCAACCGTATTAAAAAGTTATATTTTTACCGTTCGATAGTAGTTGTATATGAAACTAAGTTCTAAGTAAAACGCATGGTATAATGGAATTATTCTTTTTCTTCCATCTGTAGTAAACCATACTTGAAAGTCTGAAATACTTCCACTTGGTGGTTCGTATAACTTTGTAGGTTTTTCGTAAAAGTCATTTGCCAAGCATAAGAAAGAGTTTTGCGCACCAGAAAATGAAGCATGAACAATAATAGCATCTGGGTCGAAAACATCTTTAAATAAATATGGTTCATCTCTTGCATATCGACTGTAGATATTTGCTAAAGGAGGTTCAACTTTCTGATTTAACATTCTTTGCAAATAATACCATGACATTGCAGTGAATTCTGTATATATTTGTTCGTCTTTATTTGGATTGTCTTCGTAGATTTGAAATGACACTTGTGAATTTTGTTTGTCATATACAATTCTCACATAAAGTGTGCTATCGGTATTCGCATATTCATCAGCATATTTTGCATAACATGAATTTATTTTATCTTCTATATTTTTTAATGCAGTCTGTAGAGAAGATGAGAGGTCAACTTGTATTAGCTCAATTTCTTCCCACATTTTTCGTTGCCCTTCAGATGTATAATCTATATGAAACCTTACAATAAATGGAAAACTTTTATCTTCTACAGACACAAACTTTATTCTTCGAAAGCCAATAGCTTTTGTGACAGATGGGTCTCTTAACCATCTTAATGGGTAGTCAAAACGATAGCCTTCATGCTTTACAGTATCTGTCTCAAACTTTTGACCGACATTAGTAAAAAGTTCATCTAATGGTTTAGTTGTAGCAACTCTAGAATTTTCTTTTTCTATTGGAAGCATATTTTATCTATAATAAAAATGTCAAATGAAACAGCGTCTATGCGAGAAATACAACACAACCGACAACTCATTATGCAAGCTCTAAATAAGAACACAACAAACTTTTCAAACTATTCTAAGATATCTGAGTCATTGAAAGGGGGTGACTTAAAACTGACAATAAACCCAATGACAGATGAGTTTCTATTTCAAGACAATAAGAACAATACTGTCTGTATAAATCCAACAAAAGGAACTTTAAACGAGAAACCTATAAATGAACTTCTTTTGAAAGCAGATGTTGACAACAAAGCTGACAAAGAATATGTAGACGATGCAATAGCAAAAGAAGAAGAAAGAGCTAACAATGCTTATGCAACAAAAGAACATACTCATCCTGAACTAGCAGACAAAACATATGTTGACAATAAAATGTCAAGTGAAGTGACAAGAGCTGAAAACGAATATTCTAAAAAGACTCATATACATTATATTAACCAAATACCAAGTCTTAGTGAAACTTTAAATAGTAAAGCAAACTATGGTCATACACATGCCATTGCAAATATTACAAACTTACAAGAAACCTTAAACAGGAAAAGTGACGTTGGACATACACATACATCTTCTGAAATAACAGACTTAAACGTTAGCCTTGAAAATAAAGCAGATAAGAAACATAAGCATTATATAATAGAATTTGTTGAGCGTATAAACCTTGAAACAAACTATGAAGAATATCTTGAACGAACAGAACAAGAAAGAGATGTAGATGGAAATATTTATACGCTTTTTACAAGAAAAAAACCAACACTAGACTATAATGAGTATGTTCTTTTGTTGCATAAGCATTGTTAGCTCTTTCTTCTTCTTTTGCTATTGCATCGTCTACATATTCTTTGTCAGCTTTGTTGTCAACATCTGCTTTCAAAAGAAGTTCATTTATAGGTTTCTCGTTTAAAGTTCCTTTTGTTGGATTTATACAGACAGTATTGTTCTTATTGTCTTGAAATAGAAACTCATCTGTCATTGGGTTTATTGTCAGTTTTAAGTCACCCCCTTTCAATGACTCAGATATCTTAGAATAGTTTGAAAAGTTTGTTGTGTTCTTATTTAGAGCTTGCATAATGAGTTGTCGGTTGTGTTGTATTTCTCGCATAGACGCTGTTTCATTTGACATTTTTATTATAGATAAAATATGCTTCCAATAGAAAAAGAAAATTCTAGAGTTGCTACAACTAAACCATTAGATGAACTTTTTACTAATGTCGGTCAAAAGTTTGAAACTTAGAAACAACTCTTCAAGCTTTTCAAGAAAAAATAAACGATATCTATATTGAATATGCAAACCAGTATAACATTGACGAAGGAGAATACCATCTCGATATTATTTATGACAGGAAAAATGCAACTGTTAAAATCAATAAAATAGAAGACCTTGGAGAAAACGTTTATATTTCTACAAAATATAACAACCTGGCATGGTATAGATTTATGAGGATGTTAAATCAGCCTGCAGCATATCCAGTACACCCGGACTATTATGAAGTCGAAAACCCTAATGGAACATATGAAAATGTTTTCGACCCAGATGCTATTATTGTTCATGCTTCATTTTCTGGTGCGCAAAACTCTTTCTTATGCTTGGCAAATGACTTTTACGAAAAACCTACAAAGTTATACGAACCACCAAGTGGAAGTATTTCAGACTTTCAAGTATGGTTTACTACAGATGGAAGAAAAAGAATAATTCCATTATACCATGCGTTTTACTTAGAACTTAGTTTCATATACAACTACTATCGAACGGTAAAAATATAACTTTTTAATACGGTTGAGGTGTTGGTTGTGGTTGCCAACTTGACTGTGGTGCAGGTTCAGGCTGTTGTATAACAGGAGCTTGCTCTTCTGGTTCAGGGTCTTTAGGTATAATACCAACGAACTGACCTACTCTTTTACCAATATTTTTGACACCGTTCCATACTCCTCTTCCGACAGATTTTATTCCATTCCATATACCTCTTCCAACATTTCGAAAGAAGTTTCCTATTCTTCCAAAGAAACCCATTTACTACGTGTAAAAATCTAATGTCCGCCTAGTCTTTTACGTTTCCTTCTGAGTTCCATTGCATTCTTTAACTGAAGTTCATACATTCTGTTTCTCCTCTGGTAGAAAACATATTCTGGGTCAACTCCTGTGTTCGCGTCATCTGCATAAAGTTGTTTATATCCCACTTCAGGGTTTGTATAAAACTCTTTCCATCTCATATTTGCATACCATGGTGGCAAACCTAACGCAGCGTCATTTGACATGGCAGTTTGCATTTGTACATCTGTTGGCACTTGACCATAGTTTGCCAATGCAGTTTGTATTCTGACTTCATTTGGAATATTTTCAGGTTATGTGCTCCAAGCTGTGCAACATTTGGTTGACCTTGCGCATCTACTCCTTGCATTTTAATATTAGATAAAAATATCTCTTACGAGTACATATGCTGAACATTTGCAGGCATTGGTTCATCTTCATATTCTCTGTACTTTTCTACCACGTCAAATAAATAAATGACACAATGGAAAAAACCTAAAACAAGTAGTCCTATTTCAAACCACATTTACTTACTAATAAAATTTCTTTGTTATGACACTTTCTCCAGTTTATAGGACCTCTCTCATATTCTATCTTGTCATATATAAACTCATAGTCATGTATGTCCTCTAACCATCTCATAACGGTTTCCAAACCACTTTTATCGGATGTAAAGTAAAAGCATGGATGGTTATGTATAACGTCTAAAGTTTCTAAAGAGTCTCTCAAAGTCCAGTCTACTTGGTATTGAAAATCCCATGTGTTATAGAACGGCGGGTCCACTATAAAGAAAACATTTTCCTTGTCTTTATATTTTTCATACAACTCTGTCCAATGACATCTCACAAACTCTATACCCTCAATATATTTATCTATGTCCTCTTTGAAAACATTTGTATAGTTAAGATATAAAACTTTTGACATAAGTGTTTCAATGTCATGAACTCTTATAGCACCACTATATAATAATCTAGCAGATATACTATCCCAGTCTATATATTCTGCTTTTTTCAAAACCTCTCTCACAATATTTTTCTTATCTAATGGTATACGTTCCATCTTACCTATAGGTATCTTTTCTTTTAACTCTTTCAATATATTGTTTGTGTCTGGAATATGTTTGAGACGGTTCATATAGTTGTCGAAGTCATTGCATATAATCTTTGAGTCAGGAAATACGGTATGACATAAATGGGATATATAGAAACTTCCACCGAACAAATCTACAAATGTTAGACCATTCGGTAGTTTCTTAAGTTCTCTCAATATAATATCTTTACATCTACTCTTATTTCCAAAGAACGGTAACGGTGGTTTTGTAAAATTCATTTATATATAATAATAAAAATGTTTTTACCCGAAAAGTGATAGAAAAGTGACAAAACACGAAAACATATATAATTTGTGAAAAGTGACAGAAAAGTGACAAAACACGAAAACATATATAATTTGTGAAAAGTGACAGAAAAGTGACAAAAATGAAAATTCACATTTTTGAAAAAGTGACACAAAAGTGACATTTAAAAAAGTGATAGAAAAGTGACGCAAAAAGTAACACCATTAATATGATGTAAATAACAACGGTTTTGGTTTTGTCACCGGCTGGTCGGCTGGGGTTCGGTCCTCCTCTTGGGTCTTGGGCAAAATTTCTCATGGGCTAGAGGGCGCAACGCGCCTGGAAGCCCCACACACCTGACCTATATAGAATATAATGAAATATCCACTTTTTGCCAAATAATCGTTGTGAATTGAGAAGCTTCCGATAATGAAAATTTAGTGATCATTTATAAATATGAAACCAAAAAAAAAGGTAGTGGGGCCTCCAGGCACTTCGTGCCCTCTAGCCCTGAAGATGTTTAGTATAAATGAAGTTTTTTGGGTAGTGGGGGCTTCCAGGCACTTCGTGCCCTCTAGCCCCGAAGATGTTTAGTATAAATGAAGTTTTTATTCGGAAAATTGTTAGTCTTCTGGGTCGAAAACATTATATAATGTTTCACTTTTCACAAATTATATATGTTTTCATGCTTTGTCACTTTTCTATCACTTTTCGGGTAAAAACATTTTTATTATTATATATAAATGAATTTTACAAAACCGCCGTTACCGTTCTTTGGAAATAAGAGTAGATGTAAAGATATTATATTGAGAGAACTTAAGAAACTACCGAATGGTCTAACATTTGTAGATTTGTTCGGTGGAAGTTTCTATATATCCCATTTGTGCCATACAATATTCCCAGACTCAAAGATTATATGCAATGACTTCGACAACTATATGAACCGTCTCAAACATATACCAGACACAAACAATATATTGAAAGAGTTAAAAGAAAAGATACCTATAGGTAAGATGGAACGTATACCATTAGATAAGAAAAATATTGTGAGAGAGGTTTTGAAAAAAGCAGAATATATAGACTGGGATAGTATATCTGCTAGATTATTATATAGTGGTGCTATAAGAGTTCATGACATTGAAACACTTATGTCAAAAGTTTTATATCTTAACTATACAAATGTTTTCAAAGAGGACATAGATAAATATATTGAGGGTATAGAGTTTGTGAGATGTCATTGGACAGAGTTGTATGAAAAATATAAAGACAAGGAAAATGTTTTCTTTATAGTGGACCCGCCGTTCTATAACACATGGGATTTTCAATACCAAGTAGACTGGACTTTGAGAGACTCTTTAGAAACTTTAGACGTTATACATAACCATCCATGCTTTTACTTTACATCCGATAAAAGTGGTTTGGAAACCGTTATGAGATGGTTAGAGGACATACATGACTATGAGTTTAGATATGACAAGATAGAATATGAGAGAGGTCCTATAAACTGGAGAAAGTGTCATAACAAAGAAATTTTATTAGTAAGTAAATGTGGTTTGAAATAGGACTACTTGTTTTAGGTTTTTTCCATTGTGTCATTTATTTCTTTGACGTGGCAGAAAGATATAGAGAATATGAAGATGAACCAATGCCTGCAAATGTTCAGCATATGTACTCGTAAGAGATATTTTTATCTAATATTAAATGGACGCACAGAACTTAGCGAATGCACAGCAACCTGGACAACCAAACCCAGAGAATATTCCAAATGAAGTTAGAATACAAACTGCATTGGCAAACTATGGTCAAGTGCCAACAGATGTACAAATGCAAACTGCCATGTCAAATGACGCTGCGTTAGGTTTGCCACCATGGTATGCAAATATGAGATGGAAAGAGTTTTATACAAACCCTGAAGTGGGATATAAACAACTTTATGCAGATGACGCGAACACAGGAGTTGACCCAGAATATGTTTTCTACCAGAGGAGAAACAGAATGTATGAGCTCCAGTTAAAGAATGCTATGGAACTCAACAGGAAACGTAAGAGACTAGGCGGACATTAGATTTTTACATATAGTAAAATGGGTTTCTTCAGTAGTATTGGAAACTTCTTCAGAAGAGTTGGAAGAGGTATATGGAATGGAATAAAAACCGTAGGAAGAGGAATTTGGAACGGTGTCAAAAATATTGGTAAAAGAGTAGGTCAGTTTGTTGGTATTATACCTAAAGACCCTGAACCAGAAGAACAAGCTCCTGTTATACAACAGCCTGAACCTGCACCACAGTCAAGTTGGCAACCACAACCAACACCTCAACCGTATTAAAAAGTTATATTTTTACCGTTCGATAGTAGTTGTATATGAAACTAAGTTCTAAGTAAAACGCATGGTATAATGGAATTATTCTTTTTCTTCCATCTGTAGTAAACCATACTTGAAAGTCTGAAATACTTCCACTTGGTGGTTCGTATAACTTTGTAGGTTTTTCGTAAAAGTCATTTGCCAAGCATAAGAAAGAGTTTTGGGCGCCAGAAAATGAAGCATGAACAATAATAGCAGCTGGGTCGAAAACATTTTCATATGTTCCATTAGGGTTTTCGACTTCATAATAGTCCGGGTGTACTGGATATGCTGCAGGCTGATTTAACATCCTCATAAATCTATACCATGCCAAGTTGTTATATTTTGTAGAAATATAAACGTTTTCTCCAAGGTCTTCTATTTTATTGATTTTAACAGTTGCATTTTTCCTGTCATAAATAATATCGAGATGGTATTCTCCTTCGTCAATGTTATACTGGTTTGCATATTCGATATAGATATTGTTTATTTTTTCTTGAAAAGCTTGAAGAGTTGTTTCTAAGTTTACAAGCAAACTAACTTGTAAAAGTTTTCCCTGTTCAAATTTCTCATACATACGTTTTTCTTTGTTATAGTATCGAACTTCAAAACCGACCGTAAATGGGAAACCATGTATGGCTTCTGAAATGAACTTCATTCTACGAAAGCCAATAGCTTTTGTGACAGATGGGTCTCTTAGCCATCTTAATGGGTAGTCAAAACGATAGCCTTCATGCTTTACGGTCTCTGTCTCAAACTTTTGACCGACATTAGTAAAAAGTTCATCTAATGGTTTAGTTGTAGCAACTCTTGAATTTTCTTTTTCTATTGAAAGCATATTTTATCTAGAATAAAAATGTCGAAAGATATTGCTTCCATAAGAGAAATACAACACAACCGACAACTCATTATGCAAGCTCTAAATAAGAACACAACAAACTTTTCAAACTATTCTAAGATATCTGAGTCATTGAAAGAAGGAAACTTAAAACTGACATTAAACCCAATGACAGATGAGTTTCTGTTTCAAGACAATAAGAACAATACTGTCTGTATAAATCCAACAAAAGGAACTTTAAACGAGAAACCTATAAATGAACTTCTTTTGAAAGCAGATGTTGACAACAAAGCTGACAAAGAATATGTAGACGATGCAATAGCAAAAGAAGAAGAAAGAGCTAACAATGCTTATGCAACAAAAGAACATACTCATCCTGAACTAGCAGACAAAACATATGTTGACAATAAAATGTCAAGTGAAGTGACAAGAGCTGAAAACGAATATTCTAAAAAGACTCATATACAT